AGCCTGGGTCCTGCCCTGCCTCACACCCCAAACCTCCTGCCCTTAGCACCCCACATCCTCAAGCCCCTGCTCCGATTCTTGACCACACACCCTGCACATCCTGAGCCCCCTGCCCTGAAGGACCAAAGTAATGCCAGGTAAGTCTTCTAGTGATTTATCATATGAAATACGTCATAGCAAGAGATAGGTCTCCACTCAGAAGCCTGGGTCCTGCCCTGCCTCACACCCCAAACCTCCTGCCCTTAGCACCCCACATCCTCAAGCCCCTGCTCCGATTCTTGACCACACACCCTGCACATCCTGAGCCCCCTGCCCTGAAGGACCAAAGTAATGCCAGGTAAGTCTTCTAGTGATTTATCATATGAAATACGTCATAGCAAGAGATAGGTCTCCACTCAGAGTGGCACTTAACGGCATGCCTAGGTTTAAGAATGGGTGTAATCTTCCCTTGAAGTCAGCGGGGTTACTCAGATGCTCAGAATTAGGCAGATGTTTAACTCCGTTCTTCAATTCGAGCCTTAATCTGGAAGAAATCATCAGCATGGAAAAAAGCCATCGCCTTCTCCTCGCTTATGTCTCTCCTGGTGACTCATCCCTTCCCTGGTGCTTACAGAATACTGCCCGGTGACAATGACTAGACCAGTGGCCAATGGAAACAGCTGTTGACAGTGCAGAAATGTGCTAATTTCACAGTTAGCTCATCCTCCCTCATGTCTGTTTCGGTCAGCTATACCCTCGCTGATAGGCTCTCTGCAGCAGGAACAGGCTTCTTCCTACATGTTAATACAGTACCTGGGCAGGCAAGATAGCTGTGTTTTTGTAGTATTTGACTCAGCTGGATTCATGTTCTGTCTAATATTTATTTTAAATTTGCTGAGGAAGAAAAAAAATGAGCTTCAACCTCAAAATCTGTATTTTATTCTATGCAGGGTCTTATCCTGCCCTTACTGCTACAGGAGCTGAGCACTTTCCAGTAAAGCATTAAGTGACATGATTAACATCAGTGTCAGAGGCTGAATATGAAGTGCATGTAACATATTGGGCAGTTAGCTGAATGCAAAAGGGGTTGCAAATGAACTGGCAGGATAGGAAAGGAGAGACACACTTGAAGGGTGCCCGTCTTGGTTACTTGTTCTAACAAACTTTTTCCTTTTAGGAGGGATTGGAAGTTTCCCTAAAATATATATTGCATAAATTAGTTCACCCTTTCTTTTGTTAAAAAGACCGGCACTTCCAGCTTAGAAAAGAGGAGACTAAGGGGAGACATGACAGAGGTCTATAAAATCATAGAATCATAGAATAATAGGACTGGAAGGGACCTCGAGAGGTCATCGAGTCCAGCCCCCCGCCCTCAAGGCAGGACCAAGCTCCGTCTACACCATCCCTGACAGATGTCTATCTAACCTGTTCTTAAATATCTCCAGAGAGGGAGATTCCACCACCTCCCTTGGCAATTTATTCCAATATTTGACCACCCTGACAGTTAGGAATGTTTTCCTAATGTCCAATCTAAACCTCCCCTGCTGCACTTTAAGCCCATTACTCCATGTCCTGTCCTCAGAAACCAAGAGGAACAAATTTTCTCCTTCCTCCTTGTGACACCCTTTTAGATATTTGAAAACCACTATCATGTCCCCCCTTAATCTTCTTTTTTCCAAACTAAACAAGCCCAGTTCATGAAGCCTGGCTTCATAGGCTTCTCTAGACCTTTAATCATTCTTGTCACTCTTCTCTGTACCCTTTCCAATTTCTCCACATCTTTCTTGAAATGTGGCGCCCAGAACTGGACACAGTACTCCAGCTGAGGCCTAACTAGTGCAGAATAGAGCGGCAGAATGACTTCACGAGTTTTGCTTACAACACACCTGTTGATACAACCTAGAATCATATTTGCTTTTTTGGCAACAGCATCACACTGTTGACTC